TGTGTGTGTGTGTGTTGGCCTGCAAATAAGACTCAAGAAATGCAGTGATTGCATGTCTTCTCACTGTACACAGAGTCATTGGTTAATGTGTCCACTTGTACATGGCATACAGCAACACACAACACAAACACACAGAAACACCACACACAAACTCACACATATGACACACAAATGATAAGCAATGGCACCCCAGTCTGATAAGAGCATCCCGCCCCCCGTTCACCTTTAGGTTGTCTTAAGCGGTATGTTACACTCTCCACGACATTTCAACCGTGCCTCTCCTTCTTATTCTCTCTGTTTTCTCTGGCAAATCCCTGACGAACTGGAGAACTTTACTCTCACTTCTTGGTATTCTCTTTGACCTCTAAGTGCTTGGACATCTTAGTCAGTGTGATCCCCGGCAAAGCCGACTGTTCAATATTCATACCTTCAATGAACATTGAAAAATCGTCTCCAGTCCCAGCTGAAACTTGATCACAATAGTATATCGTCCAGTTCCCCATGTACAACTCACGTGCGCACGCCAGAGTCCACCCCCTGCAGCAAAACCAGGCTGCTGTTGAATGCTAACTAAGTATCATTCAAGTACAGAAATTTTAGTTACTCGGTACTTTACTTCCTGATATTTTTCCTTGTCATGCATACTTATACAATCTACCTACCACTACATCAGCGGAAATCTTACAGGTCTACTTTTTTTACTGTTACTAACAACCTATCTGGACAGTTTAGTGTACTAGTTACTTTACAATTAAAGATTTTGTTGCATACAAAACATACAAACGAGCATATAAAATCTAACTGTTTTAGCCTCACATTTACTAGACCGACGTTTCATACCAGCTTGAAACGCACATTCCACAGCTTGACTTTAATTGTGTGGCAACTATTTCAAGAACCGATCGCAACACACACACACTGTATATACAGATAGCCAGTTCAAAGTTTACGAATGGAGAAATCTATTCTCACCCCAACAGGGTGTAATATGGTTGGAGTGAAGGCCGTATGCAGTCATAAACCTATTTTAAAGGTGGAGAATGATTCAAAGACCAAGATGACTTTATTACCAGCACACTGTATCACACAAACACAGTTTCGCTCTCTCACGCAACACTCCTAAGCCTAAGACAAGGAAAACAAAACTCTTTAAAAACGGAAAACATAAGTACAAAAAACTGTAAAAACACTGTTTCTAAATGTATATTATTTGTCAACAAGTATAACTTCTCCTATGAAGACAGTTTATATTATCAACTGATGTTTGACTAGTATTGTATTTATTATTAGCCTGTGTTTATATACTGCTTAATAAATTCCCCCTCAGACAGATGAATGTGCAGGACAGGAAGAACAAAACATGAAGAGAAAGATGTAACAGAAAATTAAAAAACGCACAACAAACAGTGAGATTATAATAAAAATAACAATACTTAACTCTTCATCACCCAGCCTGTGATTTACAGTGGAATGTTGTTGCATGAATCATGCAATAAAATACATATACAAGTCCCTGCTGGTACTTTAATGTAGGTACAGTGGATGAAAACAAGACTATGGGGAATTACAGACACTTGCTGTATGGTTCGTTCTAAGGTAACAAAAAACAAACAGGTGGGGTCATTTTTCATGTGTGATTATACACTAGATGAAAACATCTACCTATGGAATATGGTATATTCCATTTCTGCAAATAGAGACTCCATGATGTTACACACTGGACCTTTAAAGACTGAAAAAGGGAGAACAATGCACTTTACTTCACAGCCCGCCTCATTTGTTCTTACTGTGTAATTACAAGATTAAATAATAATTATTGGTTCCTTATGAAACATTTAAGATTAGCTATGTTTAATCCATCTACATCTATTTAAACACCCAATGGTTATTCTCTTGTCCCCCAGTCTTGTTTTCTTCCTACATTACAGTCCCAGTAAGAACCTGTAAGTACTTTATTGGTACTTCACTCACACAACACAATTACACTGTAAACCAAACAACATGTCTGTGATAAAGCTACAAGTCAGTGAAGATAGCAGAGAGCAGCGGAGATGGCCATCAGCTCGGGGTTCATATGGAGACAGAAGGAGAGACATGAGGGAACAGGCCTGACAGGTCTGATGCGAACCTGTATGCAATCATAAGAAGCTGCACACAAACAGCTTTGCAACGGTCACTGACACACATGAGGGATGTTAAAGTCTGAAGAAAGTCTCTGGTCTTGTTGCCAACCAAACTGAGAGTTACAGTTGAACTATTAATATCGCCGTGCATGTTGGCAGATACAAAGAGATTGCAGAGCAGTAAATTGTGTGTATTATTAACAGCATTTTTATGCTTATCTCAGATTCTCTGTAACTGTCATCTTTAAAAATGACATTTATTGTTCCACAATATTTGTTTATATTTATTTATGTAAGAAAAATGGTAATACTTTCCAAATATGGTTATTAAATGTTTATTCTTTAGAGGTTTCCATATTGATATCGGTATCAGGCTCTAGGATACACTCCCACATGCACGTTCACATGCTATATGTGTCAGTTTCAACTTGGTATCAGTAGCCATTCAGACTGATAATTCTGTTTTAAAAATAATTAAGATCATTGAACCCTAATGGACACAGTTTATAACCAATAATTATGTACGCTGCAGTAAAATGTGATATTTAAGCATTTAAGTCAAACATCATATCATCAAGTACATTTCAACACAATGCAGACATAAACACTGAGTGAAACAATGTCACTGCGGAGAGGTAGTGTATTGTATTGTATATAAACTTTACTACCGATAACTGTTCATGGAAACATAAACATCACAGAAATGTGAACGTCCTGAGATGAGTGTCACCCCTGCAGGGCATGTGAGACAGCTGACGGGTGAAGCTGAACAAAATTCTTATTTATTAAGAAAATACTTCCAGCAGGCTGCAGAAATACACCTTCATCCTGGTTAGAAACATCTGCGTCCTTGTGTGTTTCTTGTCTGTCTGTCTGTCTCTACCAACCTTTGGTCCCCATTTACTCCTGTATCTTTTTCTCCTTCCACTGTACTTTTATTGTTATAAATAAAAAATTACAATTAAAGATTAAAAAACTAAGATCACAGATCACAGATCAAAGACTAAAATATCTACTATAACATTACATTACAGGTAAATTTAGGGTTGTTGTCCAGTGTTGCTTTAAGATGTTTTTTTAATTCTGGTGATACTCATAAAGTTTATGATACAAACTAAAACCGAAAACAAAATGTAAAGCTCATTCATTTACACAAAATAAAAAATTCAAGTAAAACTGCTCATGTAACTTGAAGACTAACTGAAGCTGAATTGGATTTAAAGGGGAACTTGGCAACTCTAGCCATTTCTTCGCTGGTTTTCACTTTTGTCATCGCATGTTTTCTCAACGAGCTCCCCCTACAGCTCTGGGACGTGTATTTCACTCACCAACGGTCGTAAAACTCACTTGCGGCCCGCTCTCTCCCCTTTCTACAGCTGCTGAGTGTGCTTTTTTTCGAGGGCACTCTTTGTGTGAGCAAATTCTAACGAGGTGGGTATAACATTTTTACACCTACCCGTTATTGAGGGCGGACGTGTGCCGTTTTATGTGAACTTGCCGTAAAGCGTTCGTCGGTTTCTCGCTCATCTTCGCTTCTCCGCGGTACTTCCTAGTTTCCAATTAATACAAGGGACGGTAGTCCAAGTTGCAAGGTTGGTTTTCTGCCTGGGGTCGCATGGGGTCCCAGGAGTGGGTGTGGGGGGGGTCACATTTTCCCGGAACAGGCCATTTAAGCCATGCCACATAGGATTTCTAAACGGGGTGTTGATTGTAAGCGGAAAAGTTGGCAAGTTCCCTTTAGATATTAGGCAAATGAAGGAACTGAAGTAAAAATGATTAAGAATTATAATTATTAGGATGCCTGAATACACGATCTTTGTGAGCAGAAACAACAATTAAGTTATTATAAGGGATAATTCTGTTCAATAACACTAAAAATATGCTCTACAGGGTGAAAACGTACACTGTGTGTACCAAAGAGGGAACAGTCCGCCTCTGTTCTTTGTTAAGCTTCCTGCATTCGAAGGGTCACCGTCACCATCTGTAACGATCGCACACCATTTCCCAATGTCCGCACTTATGAGTTAAACTTTCTTTATGAGTCAGCACACAATAGGATAAGAGATGTCGTACTTAATTTGGTTTGTGACTCACTATGCATTTCGAAACATCTCTATACTATCTTTCTGCATACTACTACACTAGGATCTAGAACGACATTAAATACTACTTTTTTATCTTCTTCAAAATCCATAGATGAGTAAAGAAGTTTCCTCTTTTGCCTAAAATTAAGTCATTATTAGAATCAGCTGAAAAACCTTCTACGTCATGTGGAACACGTTCGTCATGTACTTGTGTATATAGGAACATATGGTAGTTGCCTAGTGTTGGCATTTAGATGTTTGTTTTATTCGTGCTACAAATGTCACTGCCAAATGATGGTCAAGCGCAGACAAGGAAGGAATGTGTCTGCCACTGATTGGTCAGGCTGGATGAGATATTTAGAGAGCCGATAATATGAAATATGATTTGTGAAGACAATGTTATATATGCCACTTATGATATGAAGTCTAGATAAGTCCTGTCACTGGTTTCCCTTCACATCATCGATCTTGTAACCACAGTAAGAATGCAGAAGTATGTCTGGTAGTTATTGTTTTTGACTAGTCCTAACAATGTAACTGGTGC